TAATAGAAAATTATTGATATCATGAGCGTTGTGCCTTGTTTCTTAAACTACAAATGTTAACGTGGGCTATTTTTAACACTTTTCTGGGATGCTTGATTATTTTTCTTGCTTTACTGGGAAGATTAGCAGAGGTAGACATACTCAGGTTATTTTATTAGTGCAGGGTGAGCTTCACACAGTGGACTTCCTACTAGGGCACACCACCTCAGTGCTAACAGTATTACTCTGGTTCATAGGCATATGATTACTGCATACAATAGCTGTAGGATCATCAGAGGCATTCCGTGCAGTAAGAGGGACATATATTAGGTTATTTACATTGTGTCTACCAACGCCCCTAGGATAATGTACATTTGCTGAATCATTATGACAACTCAGCAACACAATGGTAGGGATTAAATGAGCTGGACATGGGTCATTGATAAGTCATTGTCTCAACGCAGCCTTATAATGTTGTGAAAGGATCCAGGAACCCAAATGATTTGGGTAGATCCCATCCTCCTTATAATACAAGCTTTGTTTCCAGAAGGTATCAAAATTGTCAATAAATGTTACACCGTTCAATGCCACGATTTAGGGAGGGCAGAGGTCTAATGTCCATTGCTCGTGTTTCTTGGCCCAAGCAAGTCTCTTGGCCCCAGCAATTTTCCGGTTTGACTGACCTTCATGTCTTAAAGTAATGATGGACTGTAATTTATCTTTGCTTATTTGAGCTGTTCTTGCCATAATACCAAATAGGGCTATCTTCTGTATACCACCCCTACCTTGTCACAACACAACTGATTGGCTCAAATGCATTAAGTAGGAAAGACATTCCACAAATTAACTTTTAACAAGGCACACCTGTTAATTGAAACACATTCCAGGTGACTACCTCATGAAGCTGGTTGAGAGAATGCCAAGAATGTGCAAAGCTGTAATATCAAGGGATTAGAAATCCAGGGTTTAAAAACAAAGGTGTCATTGTACGCTGATGATTCATGTTTTCTTTTAAATCCACAACTTGAATCCCTCCACAGCCACATAGAGGATCTAGATACATGTTCTAACCTCTCTGGATTACAACCAAATTATGGTAAATGTACTATATTACGTATTGGATCACTAAAAAATACAATTTTTACATTACCATGTAGTTTACCAATAAAATGGTCTGATGGTGATGTGGATATACTCGGAATACATATCCCAAATGAAGTAAATGATCTCACTCCAAAAAAATGTAATAGAAAGTTATCAAAAATAGATAAGATCTTGCTACCATGGAAAGGTGGGTGCCTGTCAATTTGTGGAAAAATCACCCTGATTAACTCTTTAGTATTATCCCAGTTTACCTATTTGCTTATGGTCTTGCCTATGCCTATTGAACAGTTTTCTAAATTATATGAGAAAAAAATATCCCATTTTATTTGGAACGGCAAGCCAGACAAAATTAAACGGGCCTATTTATATAATGAATATGAATTAGGAGGACAGAAATTATTAAATATTAAAGCATTAGACCTATCACTAAAAGCTTCAGTCATACAAAAATTATACTTAAATCCGAACTGGTTCTCTAGCAAACTAGTAAGATTGTCTCACCCAATGTTCAAGAAGGGACTTTTTCCCTTTATTCAGATTACAACCCCTCACTTTCAGGTGTTTGAAAAGGAAATAATCTCCCAAATATCACTATTTCTAAAACAAGCCATAGAACGTTGGTTGCAATTTCAATTTAATCCTCCAGAAATGACAGAACAAATATTGCAACAAAATTGTGGTTAAACTCCAATATACTAATTGATAAAAAAAAGTTCTTAAAAAAAAAAAAAGTAGAATCTTCGTAAATGATATTATCAGTAGGAATGGTGGAGTTATGTCGCACAAGCAGCTAACAAACATATGGAAATGTCTGCTCTACCCAAAATTACAACCAAATAATTGCACAAAAATGGAAGAGGAATGTGGAAGGAGGAAAAAGTAAGGAACTTGTCTGTCGGCCTTGCATTAAAGAACATAATTGGTTAAAGAAAACCAATTATTGTGATAAATAAAAAAGTTTACCAGTTTCATTTAAGGACCAAAAGATTGACAGCCATCCCATATAGATTGCAAAATAGTTGGGAAGAGATTTTTGACGTACCGATTCCATGGCATAGTGTTTATGAACTGATACGCAAAACGACGCCGGATTCAAAACTTAGAATTTTTAAATTTAAATTATTATATAAAATTCTTGCTACCAATAGAATGTTATTTGTATGGAGGATACAATCTTTTTTTGGCTGTGAAGAGACAGAATCATTAGATCATTCGTTTTGGTACTGTCCATTTGTAGCTTGTTTCTGGACACAGGTCCAGGAATGGCTGAAGGATTGCAATATTTGCATGGAGCTGACCCTGCAGATAGCACTACTGGGTGATCTGAAAAGTCATAGTCAATCGATCAATAATATAATAATACTTTTAGCAAAGATGTTTATTTTCAATTCACAAACTGTAGAAACTATGAGAATAGAAAGGTTCACAACTTTTGTAAAACATCACAGTACAGTTGAAAAATATATGGCAAATAGAAATTCAATATGGATGGTGTTAAGAGATAGATGGGAGGTTGAATGTAGCTGAAGGATGGGACTAATAACAACAACTAATAACAACAAGATACAGTGGGGAGAACAAGTATTTGATACACTGCCGATTTTGCAGGTTTTCCTACTTACAAAGCATGTAGAGGTCTGTAATATTTATCATAGGTACACATCAACCGTGAGAAACAGAATCAAAAAAATAAATCCAGAAAATCACATTGTATGATTTTTAAGTAATTAATTTGCATTTTATTGCATGACATAAGTATTTGATACATCAGAAAAGCAGAACCTAATATTTGGTACAGAAACCTGTGTTTGCAATTACAGAGATCATACGTTTCATGTAGTTCTTGACCAGGTTTGCACACACTGCAGCAGGGATTTTGGCCCACTCCTCCATACAGACCTTCTCCAGATCCTTCAGGTTTCGGGGCTGTCGCTGGGCAATACGGACTTTCAGCTCCCTCCAAAGATTTTCTATTGGGTTCAGGTCTGGAGACTAGCTAGGCCACTCCAGGGCCTTGAGATGCTTCTTACGGAGCCACTCCTTAGTTGCCCTGGCTGTGTGTTTCGGGTCGTTATCATGCTGGAAGACCCAGCCACGACCCATCTTCAATGCTCTTACTGAGGGAAGGAGGTTGTTGGCCAAGATCTCACGATACATGGTGCAGTTGTACTGTCCTCTTTGCAGAAAAGCATCCCCAAAGAATGATGTTTCCACCTCCATGCTTCACGGTTGGGATGGGGTTCTTGGGGTTGTACTCATCCTTCTTCTTCCTCCAAACACGGCGAGTGGAGTTTAGACCAAAAAAGCTCTATTTTTGTCTCATCAGACCACATGACCTTCTCCCATTCCTCCTCTGGATCATCCAGATGGTCATTGGCAAACTTCAGATGGGCCTGGACATGCGCTGGCTTGAGCAGGGTGACCTTGCGTGCGCTGCAGGATTTTAATCCATGACGGCGTAGTGTGTTACTAATGGTTTTCTTTGAGACTGTGGTCCCAGCTCTCTTCAGGTCATTGACCAGGTCCTGCCGTGTAGTTCTGTGCTGATCCCTCACCTTCCTCATGATCATTGATGCTCCACGAGGTGAGATCTTGCATGGAGCCCCAGACTGAGGGTGATTGACCGTCATCTTGAACTTCTTCCATTTTCTAATAATTGCGCCAACAGTTGTTGCCTTCTCACCAAGCTGCTTGCCTATTGTCCTGTAGCCCATCCCAGCCTTGTGCAGGTCTACAATTTTATCCCTGATGTCTTTACACAGCTCTCGGGTCTTGGCCATTGTGGAGAGGTTGGAGTCTGTTTGAGTGTGTGGACAGGTCTCTTTTATACAGGTAACGAGTTCAAACAGGTGCAGTTAATAAAGGTAATGAGTGGAGAACAGGAGGGCTTCTTAAAGAAAAACTAACAGGTCTGTGAGAGCCGGAATTCTTACTGGTTGGTAGGTGATCAAATACTTATGTCATGCAATAAAATGCAAATTAATTATTTAAAAATCATACAATGTGATTATCTGGATTTTTGTTTTAGATTCCGTCTCTCACAGTTGAAGTGTACCTATGATAAAATTACAGACCTCTACATGCTTTGTAAGTAGGAAAACCTGCACAATCGGCAGTGTATCAAATACTTGTTCTCCCCACTGTAACTAGTGTAAGACATGCGAAAATGATCGGAGGAAGTTCAGGAGTAAAAACAAACAAAATATAATTATAGACTGTGTCCATAAAATGTATATAGTATGTATAAGCATGAAGTAGAGGCCTAAGCATTGTTGTTCACTAGTTTACTCCAATTAGGGAGGGGATGGTGGGTTTGGAAAGTAATAAATAAATAAAATAAAAATAAAATAAATAAAATATATATATATATATATATTTTATAATATATATCCTAATGCTGTTTATTTGTGAATGTAGTGCTGTCAACTGACTACTTGTATTCAACATTTTACCAATATCAAAGCTTGCAATATTTGGTTACATGATCCTATGTGGCCCACCCCGCCTCCAGCCAGACATTATTCGGCATGTTTTGAGTTTAGGGTGTGTGTCACAATATCCAAAACAACATTTGCTACCTAACTGTAGGCTACTGTACTGTCTTTGATTACCACAATATACATTTTTTGAATAATTAATTCTCTACATTCATTTCCAGCCACATTACATTTCTAATGACAAACAACTATGACTGTTGGCAGGGTCAATACAATTTTAACCAAGTAAATGTAGGTTAATTAAACAAAATAAAAGAATGAATTGAAAATTATATTTTAAATATTAGACAATGTTCTAATAATGAACTGGGACTGGTCTTCTGTCTTTTAGTGACAGACCCAATCAGGTTTTCATTGTTTCTTAACTTATTTCATATATTGTGAGTAGGCGTGTGTGAGCACACACTAGCTATGTGACATTATAGAGGAAATGTGAAGTGAAGGCCTATGCCAGAGGAACAAGAGAGGAAACCGCACATTGTGCAGGCACAGAAAAGAGAGCTCAGGATTACATTTTACACAGTTAGGGTTTGGGGTTATGCAGTGATCAGAGCTAGATATCAAGGGAAACGTACATTTTTATTTTCCAATAGTGTGTCTGAATAGATAAATACGCTATGAAGTTGGTGAAACTCATTTTAATCCTCCAAGCGCTTCATCTGTGTCAAGGTAACAGATACCACTCTACACAATAATTTGTGATCTATTATCTTTGATTTTCTTGTTTAAAGTTTACAGTAACAGTAAAATTGATTCTATCACATCGATAAGTGAAGATAAACATTAGTTTATTAATGTGAAGGGTATTAGTCAGATGCTAACCAGTCCTCGGCTAATAAGTTCAACGATTTGAAACACCTTTGGATTTTATGTATTACACATTTTACATAAGGCAAAAAAGGCACAAATATTAACTATTTGAATAACAGTAACATTGAAGGAATTATCCCAGCTCGCACATAAAGTTCTGAGAACCATATATTTCTTAGAGCTTGGTGAGAACGTGGTTGTCCTATGGTTATTTTGAATACAACCTTCCCAAAACTTTCTGGGAATGGTGCAGGATACCCAGCTAGCATATAACGCTCTCAGAACCATATGTTTTGTCTGTGGGAATTTCAGTACTGCAGCATAATGTTTTCTGCAGGTTTCCTCACGGTTCTATTGAAATGGGGTCTGTTTGAAAATACTAAACTTAACAGCTTTGTACGAGTTAAAAAACATGGCACGCTAGCTCCATCCTGGTGGCACAGTGGACTAATTACATGGATAGATAACATAAGATCATAGGTTTGAATTTCACTGATGTTGTGCCACAATAAAAAAAAGAAACGTTTGCTTGATTAATGCCTGAGCAAATGAATTTCTATCTGTGCTTGGACTTAACCCAAACTAAGCTAGCAGTATTATTAAAAGTCATCGAAACATGTTCCTAGAACTTTATTTAATTACCTTCAAATAACCTATAATTCTTGTTCTCAGAACGTTAATAAAACTTCCTGGGAAAACTTGCAGGGAACCGTAGTAAGGCGTTCTCAGACCCTCCCTGCAACCTAAAAATGTATGTTCCCAGAACAGCCAAAATATTCACTTCCGTTCTTTAAAAAAAAAAAATCCCGGTCAGAAATGTATGGCTTCGTTCTCAGAACCAATGGGAAACCAAAAACATACATTCCCACAACTTCCAAGGAACCAAATGTGCTAGCTGGATTACCCTGATTTTTTTTATTTTTTTATAATGTAATAAACTACTACCACTAACTACTTTGTACAATAAGCAGGTGGTTTGGACACAGGGCTTTATGGCTCAAGACATCTTACCACATTTCACATGCATCTCACGCCAGATACCAACAAAGGATGGTGCTTGGTCAAGTGGTTAGTTTGAAAGTCTTGCATGTGGGAAGTCCTAGTGGTCAAAGGGAGTCACAATAACATTGAGACCAATAAAATGATGTCACATCTCATTGCTATATCTGTGATCTAAAGGGATGTGCCATTTTCAACTTTCTTTCAGCATATAACAATTCCTCTGCTCAAACTGGAAAAAATGCATCACAATCGGAGCTTGATAACAATCAAAGTGAGTTTCTGTATTTCTTTATCTTTTCTGACAAAGCCACCCACACAGACAAATGATCTCCAATCATCACTGCTGGCTTTGAGTTTCACATTTAATTTTACTCCATCGCTCACAGACTCTCATGTATCATGATCAGACCACCCCAAATTATCCAGGTCTCAGAGCATTAATCAAGCATTTGGTGCAGTGTTTGAAACCACTTCTGCTTGGTTAAACCCCATCGTGTACTCTCCATATGAATGTTTTTGTTCAGCGTCAAAAGTATGTCACACAGGATGTGGAGGTGGTTAGGTTAGGGGTTTGCTGCTGCGTTTAATTGAACTTTGCAGGTGCATTCCAACCAAGAGTTTGATAGGCTTTAACTGAAATTACAGTGCTATGTTGCAAAACTATTTCACCCACTCATCAAGATCTTGGATTTTCCTGCATTCTGCACATCAGTACCCATAACATTTTCTCTCTATAAAGTATGACCATCCATTATGTTACAAATACAGCCTACATAAGTAATAATTCACTCTTATACCATGGCAATTTTTTTAATTTAGTGATATCGTAGAATAGTTAATGTCTTCATTCACTTAAAATGTCTCATTCTCATTCACAGCTGAGCCCTACATAACTCAACGATCCAATGCATGCTCCTGGAGTCCCATGATCTTTAGAGATGAGATATGGACTTCAGTCACATTCACTGCAGAGTCCAGAGACCAAGTAGCCCATCAGATATGTATGGCTCTTGGCTGTGGTGGAGTCTACAGTCTTAATGAGACCAGCGCACCACCCAACAGTATCTGCCTCACAAACTGCACCTACCGTGAATATCGTCTTCAGAACTGCTCCCACGTTGTGAGGATGAATTGCACAAAGGTGTCCGATGTCGTTTGTGGTAAGACACGGTTTAAAAGACACACATTTCATCATATGCTCTCATTTCACAAAATAAGTTAAAAATTATAATAGGATACTTGATATTGTTGATCATATATACAGTCTGTTACATTCTACAAATGTACCATATGCGTTACATCACATAGTTTTTCAAGTTGAATCACATTAGTTGCACACTAACCCTAACTCTAGGGGTTGAAACTCATATACAGTCCCTGTGTCTGTGGTTGTAGGGCACCAGGCTGTGAGGCTGGCTGGAGGCGAGCACCGCTGCGCTGGACGTGTGGAGCTGTGGAGAGAGGGGCAGCAGTGGGGCACGGTGTGTGACGATGAGTGGGACATGAGGGATGCTGATGTGGTATGTGCCCAGCTTGGCTGTGGCTATGCCATAAGTGTGACAGGGCAGGGTGGTGCCTTCCCTCAGGGCAAGGATCCCATCTATCTGGATGAGCTGAAATGTACTGGCAAAGAGGGCAACCTGTGGCAGTGCCCAGCATCAGATAAAAGCCATGACTGTGGGCACAAGGAGGATGCTGGGGTGGTATGTTCAGGTAACTGTCACTGATGTTTCCTACACACTACAATAAAAGGATATAATGTAGATTGTATATGTATTTCTGTTCCCTGTACAAACTTTATCATACCTACTAACAGGCCAGATTGCTGGTTCAAATCAAGAGCACCAACTTCTCTTTATTCATCTAAAGATCTTTATGGTCCCTGTTCTCTCTGCCTATTTTACAGAGCTGAAGGCAGTGAGGCTGACTGGAGGGGTGGACCACTGTTCTGGTAAAGTGGAGATCCACCGTAATGGATCATGGGGGACAGTGTGTGATAACTGCTGGGGGAAGGAGGAAGCCTCCATGGTGTGTTCCATGTTGGGCTGTGGGGAGCCAGTTCATTTTGTAGCTTTCAAACCCCCTTTCACTCACAACAATGGGACCCTGTGGTACTACAGATGCGATCCACATCACACAGACCTTTGGCAGTGTAAGGAATTTGCCAACATTACAATATTGTGCACTGACTCTGAAGCGGCTGGACTTATTTGTAGTGGTAAGTGAGATTATTTGTGCAAATGATATAAATGTTTGATTAATGTACACCATGGTTCTTCAATTCCGGTCCTGGAGGGCCGAAACACCTCTGTTTTTCATCCTTCTAATCAGGGGCTAATTCAGACCTGGGACACCAGGTGAGTGCAATTAACTACCAGGTAGAAATAAAAAACAGAAGTGTTTCGGCCCTCCAGGACTGGAATTGAAGAACCCTGATGTACACAGTGAGCACAATTAAGGTTTTTCAAATATTTTCTACTGTACTGTACTTTTTCTCACAGGATCACGTGGGCGATATCTTCCAGTTACAACAGAAGCAGCTGCAACAGTATTGAGCAGGACCCCAGGTGAAAAAGGTCAACCTGAGTCTGAATTTTAAGATTGACAAAACTATTCAGACTTTTGAGAATGTAAAAGATCAAGATTAAATGTGTGTAAAATGTTATTTGTTCCTGTATTTTGTTTCCTTCCCAGTGACTACAGCCAGTGTAGCAAATTATGGCTTCCCATTCGCCATGTCCCTAGAGCTGCTGGGGTGCATCTCCCTATCCTTCCTTCTGCTCACGGCTCTGGTCACAAACGCTCTGCTTTGCTGCCACTACAGGAGGAGAAATGGTTGGTCCCAACTGCCACATACACTACCAGTCAAAAGTTTGGACACACCTACTCAATCAAGGCTTTTTCTTTATTTTGTCTATTTTTTACATTGTATAATAATAGTGAAGACATCAAAACTATGAATTAACACATATGGAATCATGTAGTAACCAAAAAAGTGTTAAACAAATCAAAATATATTTCATATTTGAGATTCTTCAAATAGCCACCATTTGCCTTGATGACAGCTTTGCACACTCTTGGTATTCTCCCAACCAGCTTCACCTGGAATGCTTCTCCAACAGTTTTGAAGGAGTTCCCACATATGCTGAGCACTTGTTGGCTGCTTTTTCTTCACTCTGCGGTCCGACTCATCCCAAACCATCTCAATTGGGTTGAGGTCTGGGGATTGTGGAGACCTGGTCATCTGATGCAGCACTCCATTACTCTCCTTCTTGGTAAAATAGCCCTTACACAGCCTGGAGGTGTCATTGTCCTGTTGAAAAACAAATGATAGTCCCACTAAGCCCAAACCAGATGGGATGGCATCGCTGTAGAATGCTGTGGTAGCCATGCTGGTTAAGTGTGTCACTGACAGTGTCACCAGCAAAGCACCCCCACACACTAACACCTCCTCCTCCATGCTTTACGGTGGGAAATACAAATGCCTAGAACATCCATTCACCCACACCGCGTCTCACAAAGACACGGCGGTTGGAACCAAAAATCTCAAATTTGGACTCCCGACCAAAGGACACATTTCCACCGGTCTAATGTCCATTGCTCGTGTTTCTTGGCCCAAGCAAGTCTCTTCTTCTTATTGGTGTTCTTTAGTAGTGGTTTCTTTGCAGCAATTCGACCATGAAGGCCTGATTCACACAGTCTCCTCTGAACAGTTGATGTTGAGATGTGTCTGTTACTTGAACTCTGTGAAGCATTTATTTGGGCTGCAATTTCTGAGGCTGATAACTCAGCAGCAGAGGTAACTCTGGGACTTCCTTTCCTGTGGCGATCCTCATGAGAGCCAGTTTCATCATAGCACTTGATGGTTTTTGCAACTGCACTTGAAGAAACTTTCAAAGTTCTTGACATTTTCCGTATTGACTGACCTTCATGTCTTAAAGTAATGATGGACTGTTGTTTCTCTTTGCTTATTTGAGCTATTCTTGCCATAATATGGACTTGGTATTTTACCAAATAGGGCTATCTTCTGTATACCTTGTCACAACACAACTGATTGGCTCAAATGCATTAAGGAAATAGATTCCACAAATGAACTTTTAAGAAGGCACACCTGTTTATTAAAATGCATTCCAGGTGACTACCTTATGAAGCTGGTTGAGAGAATGCCAAGAGTTTGCAAAGCTGTCATCAAGGCAAAGGGTGGCTATTTGAAGAATCTCAAATATAACATATATTTTGATTTGTTTAACACTTTTTTGGTTACTACATGATTTCATATGTGTAATTTCATAGTTTTGATGTCTTCACTATTATTCTACAATGTAAAAAAAAAAAAACTTGAATGAGTCGGTGTGTCCAAACTTTTGACTGTGCATTCAGTGACTGAATTTCAAAATCTCCATGCATCATAGGTCCATGTATCTGGCAGTTCATATTGTAATAGAGTTTTGTATATGGGTCATTCTACAGACGTGGTGCAAATTGGGGGAAGGAAAAAATATATTTTTGTATCCTATTTTTACAAAATCTTCAGAGCACATTTCTTCCAACATATGTCAGAAAGACATAAACTCAGCAAAAAAAGAAATGTCCCTTTTTCAGGACCCTGTCTTTCAAAGATAATTTGTAAAAATCCAAATAACTTCACAGATCTTCATTGTAAAGGGTTTAAATACTGTTTCACATGCTTGTTCAATGAACCATAAACAATTAATGAACATGCACCTGTGGAACGGTCGTTAAGACACTAACAGCTTACAGATGGTAGGCAATTAAGGTCACAGTTATGAAAACTTAGGACACTAAAGAGGCCTTTCTACTGACTCTAAAAAACACCAAAAGAAAGATGCCCAGGGTCCCTGCTCATCTGCGAGAACGTGCCTTAGGCATGCTGCAAGGAGGCATGAGGACTGCAGATATGGCCAGGGCAATAAATTGCAATGTCCGTACAGTGAGACGCCTAAGACAGCGCTACAGGGAGACAGGACGGACAGCTGATTGTCCGCGCAGTGGCAGACCATGTGTAACAACACCTGCACAGGATCGGTATATCCGAACATCACACCTGCGGGACAGGTACAGGATGGCAACAACAACTGCCCGAGTTACACCAGGAACGCACAATCCCTCCATCAGTGCTCAGACTGTCCGCAATAGGCTGAGAGAGGCTGGACTGAGTGCTTGTAGGCCTGTTGTAAGGCAGGTCCTCACCAGACATCACCGGCAACAATGTCGCCTATGTGCACAAACCCACCGTCGCTGGACCAGACAGGACTGGCAAAAAGTGGTCTTCACTGACGAGTCGCGGTCGCGGTTGTTTGTATTGCATATTTGATATATGTGACCGACTGGCTCGATTTGGTCTTATGTAGCAAAATAATTTGAAATTGTGTAGTTACTCAGAAATAGAAAGTGGTATATCATACACTATATTTGAGGAACAATGGGAAAGTAATTCTGCTTTGAAAGTTGATAAAATTTTAACCTCACTTTTGAGAAAATCTTGAATGTTTTGGTACCTACTGGAGAGCTCTTCTTTGTCTACACCCATTCAGCATCGTTCACACCCTCTTAAGCTTTAGCCCCACCCATCTCTTTAAGGATGTGAGGCTATGTACTAAACAACCAAAGATTTCAAGACTAAAGGCTGGTTTATACTATGGATGTGTTCGTAAATGTAATCTAGAGTGCCAGAGTGTGCTTGGAGCGTTCAGAGTGAACACTGGACTCTTTCGCCGAGGAGGAGGATTGATCAGAGCGTTCTGACCTAAGAACAGCAGTCAAGCACCCAAGCTAACTGGCTTGCTAGCTACTTCCAGACACAAATGAGAGAACAGCTCACTCTGACCATTTTACTCGCCTTAGCAGAGCTGGTTAGGCTGTTTTTATGTTATCCAGAGCGTTGGTGACTGCAACTGTGCTGCTGGCAAAAAATGTATTATGCTTTTTTGCCAACATTTACTGACACCGGCCATAATCAATGGGTGTTGAGCGTTCGTAAATTCGTCAGTTATTCTGCGCTCTGGCACACTCAGACGAGAGTGCTCTGAAATCGGAGTAGATAGCCAGAGCGAATTTACCAGCTACGTCTATCGACAGAATTTTCTCAATTTCCTTAGCTATCATACTCTAATTCCACTGATTTCAAAACTCAGTCCTCCAGAAAGTGGAGAGCAACACTTATGGAGTTCTACTACGTGATATCGTTCAAAAAAGCCGCGTTAAAAAAGATGACCTACACGTACTGAACAGCTCATATTATTGACAGAAGCGTGCTACATGGCAGACCGATCCGAACTCATCTCTTGGCATATCCAGCCCACTCATTATCTCAGCCAATCATGGCTAGCGGGAAGGTTGCTGTCTTTTCCCAGTGCTAAACCAACTAGGCTCATAATTTAACAATTGTATTCGTATTTACAGATAGCATACAAGTTTGATATTAAGGCACATGAAAGTTCACATGTTCCAGAAGGCATTTCTGCTCAATAACGCATTCTGATTCGTTTTTTAAAAGTTTACGTTCAAATGGCGCACCTGTGAAGTAGTGACGCGCGACATACGCCTAGTTTCCTGAAACGAGTTCCTTACCCCCACCCTCCCACACACACTAAATTTGGCACTACCGAAACAGTGAAAAAGTTCATTAAAGGGATAATCATGCACAGAACATATTCATTTCAGAAATGTTATTTGCATACCAAATTAACAAAATAGTAAAAACATGATTTTTGAATCTAAAACTTGTTGATTTGATTGATTGAATTCTGATTAATGAAGTGGTTTGATGCTTAAATTATCACTTTACCTATCTTTATTTTGGCTCAATAACAGGTGTTTCGGTATGAAGTGTCAATCATAGAGATAACTGGAGTACTCTAGATGGATATAACTCATTTTAGTATAGATATTGAGGGGGCTTCCACCATTTAAAAGTAGCCAACTGGGTGAGGATTCCTATGGGTTGGGAGTGATCAGCCAATGATCAGAGAGCATTTTAATGTTCAAATTGGGTTGCCTATGGTTTGTAAACCAAATAATAAGGTAATATCCAGGAGCCAAGACCAAGATTTATACCAGGACATTGGTCCCAAGATCCAAACACAGACCCAAACCCAGTGAGTTCAGACCATGACAAGTTAAGTACCTAATTTATGTGGTCCTGAGGGGTCTCAAGACCAAGACCACTAGATCAAGAGTCCATCAGCCCTTTCTTCAATTGTAAGAAACTCAAGGAAACTCGAGTACAGTACACTAGAGCACAGTAGAGTAGGATACAGTAGAGTAGGGTACAGTACACTAGAGCACAGTAGAGTAGGGTACAGTAGAGTAGGGTACAGTACACTAGAGCACAGTAGAGTAGGATACAGTAGAGTAGGGTACAGTACACTAGAGCACAGTAGAGTAGGGTACAGTAGAGTAGGGTACAGTACACTAGAGCACAGTAGAGTAGGATACAGTAGAGTAGGGTACAGTACACTAGAGCACAGTAGAGTAGGATACAGTAGAGTAGGGTACAGTACACTAGAGCACAGTAGAGTAGGATACAGTAGAGTAGGGTACAGTACACTAGAGCACAGTAGAGTAGGGTACAGTAGAGTAGGGTACAGTAGAGTAGGGTACAGTGCATTAGAGCACAGTACAATAGAGTACAGTAGAGCACACTACAGTACAGTAAAGAACATTATAGATGTCTATGTTTTGCCCATAAAGATGTCAATGTTTGGGCTCTTGGAGGGTTGGATCCTCCCTGCTGGCTATGCATCTCAATAATCTACACTTTTTCCTGAAGTGTGAACTTGTCCACTACCCTCATTGTGATACTCTGTAGCTCAGTTTAAAATGGATATATCCTCAATGGCGCTGCCCGTGCTGTCACAGACGCCATAATGGCACAGATACAAAGATGAGACCTCTATATATCTCTATGGTGTCAATTGTTTCGATTGTGACTGTTTTGGTTAGGAAAATGTTGACTTATTTTGATCTTTAAAAATCTCCATAGCTAACATATTTCTTTCAGTTGGACAGCAAACATATATTTTAGTCCCAAAACTGTACTTTACATATGTCTTTATATATTATACTGAACAAAAATATAAACGCAACATACAACAATTTCAAAGATTTTATTGTATATTTTTGTTCAGTATAATATATAAAGAAATAAGTAAAGTACGGTTTTGGGATTTAGAATGGACCATTATCATGCACCTATATCGAAACAGTGTCAGCCGGAAAAAATAAATCTAATCTATGCACTTAAATAGCGAATGGAGGACGCTTTTCCCCGTAGTTTATTTTCATGCCAGCCGGCTATACTCCTGTTGTAAATATAAGCAATGTGCTTAATAATAGGAAAGTTGAGAAATAAATATAGTAGGCCTAGCCTATAGAAAAATGATCCTCCTATTTTTAATAGAGTCCATCACTCTTGTTTTCTCGCGCAATTGTATAGCCTATTGAAATGATGCGCAACATGAGCTCATGGGCTCTCGTGAAGTGTTTGATTAGATTTTCGAAACACATTTGCATTGATGTCAGAGTGATTAGAGGGACAATAGAGTGCGGAGTACCAGGCAGTTAGCAAGTTTGGTAGGCCTACTAATGACCATCAGCAGCATCAGAGCTTGGAGAAGCCTAATTACCGTAACTAAACGGTCACGTGGAATTTGACTGCCTTCATGACTCGTGACCACCGGTGTGACGGTAATACGGTCACCGCAATAGCCTTAGGTGGGACTGCAATTTGCACCACTTCTGTAGAATCACCCATATAGTCTAATATAGATCATTTTGGATTGGTTAGAACCTGATACTGTATTAATATTACAACGTGTTTTTACTGTCCATAGCTCTCTTAGTCCAGCAGAGACATGCTAACCTGCAGACACCCACTGAGCATCATGACAAAGACTACCAGGACTCTGTGAATCTCATCAAGGTCACAACCAGCAGCCCAACAGAAAATGAAGGTTAGTGAATTAGAACATGCCTCTTTGACCCTGTTTTCCTCTGTACAGAGCTCCTACTTCATCAAGACCCACATTGTCACATATTATCAAATCTGTTTTGATTTGTATAACATTTTTGGTAACTCTCTGTAAAGATTGTTTAATCTCTCTTTTGTTTTGCTTTGCAAAGTCCCGGCAAATCCCAGGTATCAGTGGACCCAGAGTAGTGTGGACAGCACCTCAGTGGATACAGACTATGACCAGTGTGATCTAAACGCTGAGGCAGCTGTCCATATGACCACCTTTCAGAGTAAGCAGTGTCTTTTTTTCTCCCAAATCCCATTTAATTAATACATACTTTAACTAAGCATTACAGTTCAGAAGGGCTAATCAAGACGCCAAAATACACAATCATTTTGGACTACACTACTCATATTTGTGTAGCACAGGAGGTTGGTGGCACCTTAATTGGGGAGGACGGGCTCGTGGTAATGGCTGGAGCAGAATGAGTGGAATGGTATCAAATACATGGTTTTTATGTGTTTGATGCCATTCCATTTGCCCTGTCCAGCCATGATTATGAGCCGTCCTCCCTTCAGCAGCCTCCGCTGTTGTGTAGCTAATATATCTCAACTCTCACTTGTAATTCAGATTCTATACGATACAAACAAGATACCAGGAACCCTTTTATGAGGGCTACAGCTCTGGACAGTCTATCTGAGGAAGGTGAGTCCATATTTAGTGGTGCACTCCAGTAACGGCCAAGAACAATCTCAATGCCTTTCCTCCATGACAGACACAAATTCACAACATTTGATAGCTAATAAGTTTGAAAAGTTTGTTATTCCCAACATTGTGACGTCTGTAGCACATGCAGGTGACAACCATAACGTTTTCATAGGAGGCATTTGTGACCAAGCTCCAGGATGCAATATAGGACCCCCAAGTGGTGAGGGTCACTCTTCTGTTTGTTTTTTTTTGACGAACGTTTTGATTTATTTAGTAATGTTTTTGATAGGGGGGTTAAATAAATAAAAAGTGGGCCTCCAACCCCAACCTCCCATCCCATTCACCCGACCCCACCAAGCCAACATGTTTCTATCTCCCCTCCCCCCTCCCGGAAACCATGTCCCCCCCCCCCCCCCCAGCAACTGGGGTTGCTCATCAGTCACCTCCCCAGAGGGTCAACCTTTGAACTCAACAATGTACAATTCAGAGAAAATGAAGAGACATGACCCATAACAATCTAATTGTGATTTGTGTTGACATCTGTTTCAGTGGACTCCTTTGATTCTTCCAGCACCTCCTCTGAGGAATGCTATGAAAACACAGGTAAAGATGTGGAGAATCTACTAACATCAGGTATGGCCATGGGTACAGCCCTGAGTTTTTCCTGACTTTATGGGACCTGACCAGGAAAACTCCAGTCCCTATGGATACAGTAGGTGCAGACAGTACTGCAAACAAGTCACTGTGCTAATGTTGCAATAGCCCTAAGTTCCATTTCTATTCATGCTGTGCATTTACTTTTCTCTACCAGGGAGAATGGATCCATGGCAACCTCCAGTTACCCACAATGCAAATAACCACCTAATGCCTTCAGGGAACCCTGATCAAACCCAGTCACATGACCAGGGTAAACAAGCTGCTTCCCTTCTCTTCTCTTCTCCTCTCTTCTCTTCTTATCTCTTTTCTCCTTTCTCCTTTCCTCTCATTTTCTCTATCTACTCTATTTTGGCAATAAGGGATTTGGGATGTTACTCTATTTTCTGACACCCTGTATTCTGTTTATCATGGTTTGTCACCAGGAGTGGCTGATGGCAAAAGTGACGAGTATGAGGAGGAGGGCCACCTGTACTCTCCTGACCCCAACCAGTCCTCCTCAGAGGGTGTCTATGATGACATCGCTAACTACCTGGACTCAAATCCAGAGCAAGGCTACTGAATGAGCTGGATGGACCTACGTTTTATATGTCAATATTTCTGTTAATATAAAATAGTAGCTAGCTAATTGTTTGAAATGTTTGAAAGTATGTATTATTGTATAGCATACAAATAGTATGTATGTTGTTTAGTATTTTGTGTTTTTGGGTGTGATAATAAATAAATAAAAATGGTTTAATATGCAGTTATGATATTTGTGCAGTTGGTAACATACAATGATTGCTGATGTAGCCTACAGAGGAAACCCTTACAGCAGGGATCATCAACTAGAAACCTTGCTTACATTTGTACACAGTCACATATAACTCTCTATTATGCGTGGGAGTGCTTTGGAACAGATTTCCTAACTTAAAATCACAATTTTTACAGTCTTATGTCCAACAACAAACAAAACAAAATTATTATTATTTTCTTTGATCAGTAAAGTTAGGAGGGGCCTCCCGAGTGGCGCAGCTGTCTAACGCACTGCAGCGCAGTACTAGAGGTGTTACTACAGACCCGGGTTCATTCCCGGGCTGTGCCACAACCGGCCGTGGCCTGGAGTCCCATAGGACGGCGCACAATTGGCCTAGCGTTGTCCGGGTTAGGGGAGGGTTTGGCCGGGGTGGCTTTATTTGGCTCATCGCGCGGGGGGCCAGTATGAAAAATAAAAAAAATAATGTATGCACTCACTAACTGTAAGTCGCTCTGGATAAGAGCGTCTGCTAAATGACTTAAATGTAAAAAAAATGAGGAATGGGCCAAAATTCACCCAACTTATTCTGGGAAGCTTGTGGAAGGCTACCCAAACCGTTTGACCCACGTTAAACTATTTAAAGGCAATGCTGCCAAATACTAATTGAGTGTATGTAAACTTCTGACCCACTGGGAATGTGATGAAATAAATAAAAGCTGAAATAAATAATTCTCTCTACTATTATTCTGACATTTCACATTCTTAAAATAAAGTGGTGATCCTAACTGACCCAAGACAGGGAATTTTTACTAGGATTAAATGTCAGGAATTGTGAAAAACTGAGTTTAAATGTATTTGGCTAAGGTGTATGTAAACTTCCGACTTCAACTGTAGTATAAAGTACTGTTTACACAAGTATCCTTAGGATAAAGAGCTCTCCTTACAAGGAGGATATGTGCCATGGTAGATGACCAATAGTATAGAGTGCATGAGGTAAAATAAGCAGGAAGGTAAAATAATTCAAGGCTAAGATTTACGGTATGAATGTGTCTACAATTAGAGCTATAGCCCCTGACTAATTTCACTCATCTTAAATAGTTTTGTATCCAGATAAACACATTTTCTCCATATGAAATCCAATCTCTTTCAAGTCAGAGAATCTGGCATGTGTAACAGCCCACCTACCACTACACTAAAGCCATGGTTACACCTTGCATTAACATGTGGTAACGTTGTCATCCGATCAAGATGATCCGATCACTATCTGATCAAGATTTATTGCATCTACACATGGTAATAAAATGTGTCTCTAGCGGCCCACTGCTTCCGTATTATGACCAGATTCCCTGGTCCCTCCCTTTATGCAAATTAATCCAAAATGCCTCGAACCTCCCCCACAAACTGTATTAATCGACAGAAAAACAGTACCTTAACTCTAACCCTAATGATTTAAGACAGGGCGTAATAGGCTACTATCCCAATAACCTCAATCTGTCCACAGCCGTACAAATAAATAGTCATCCCTAAAAAAGTCACCTCACAAACGAGCTGAGTATCTGGATGTGTGTACAAAATACAATAATGCACAGTATAAAAACAAATGACACTTAGGGCCCTTATGTCACGCCCTGGCTCTGGGGACTCTCGTATGTTGAGCCAGGGTGTTAGTTTCTATGTTTTGCGTTGTAGGTTGTGGGTCTAGTTTTTGCATTTCTATGTTGGCCAGGGTGGCTCCCAATCAGAGACGGCTGTAGCTCGTTGTCTCTGATTGGGAGCCATACTTAGGTAGCTGTTAGGCATTCGTTTGGTGTGGTTTCTTGTTCCGTATGGTGTGTATTGTAACCAAGGACTTCACGTTTCGTATCGTTTGTTGTTTTGTTCGTTCAATAAATAAGTATGTTCACATTCCACGCTGCGCATTGGTCCTCTCTTCCCGACGATCGTGACACCTTATGCACACAGTAGAAGCAGAAACACACTGTAAGAGAACATGTTTATTTATACAGTAATTTTAGGTATTATCAACAGTAAAAAAATAAAACTCTAATACTTGTTACTGCAGCAGACTGTAAATGATGGTGCATTGTGGAAAAATTGTTGTGTTTCGAATGGTACTGTAATTCCACCCCACAGAATACAGTACCGTATCTTTTGACCACTTGTGGGTACATGGTATTGTTGTTTCTGTCTCATTAACATATTTTTTTGCATGCCTTGTAAGAGGCTATATTTGTTGCACCCATGAGTGAGAATGCAATTTAACTCCTATATGGTTATAGTGAAATTGAAAATGTATAGGGGACAGATTGGAGTGGTGACAAAATGTTAATTAATATGCTGTAATGTGTAAACCCTTTACCTAGCAGCCAACCTGCTTGCACCACATCCCTTTTAATTACAGTAACGATTCAAACCCCTCTCCTCAATTAATTTCATTCATCCATTCATTCACAATATTTACAATATGATACAGTCAATTTTACAGTACTGTCATTACACAGTACTTGTGTTGATACCGTATTTATATTACAGTAAGTGTACTGTAATATGAAATACAGAATTTTACTCACCACCACGCTGCCTGTATACTGTCAAATTCATGGCAACCCCTTTACAGTGCAGGTTAAGTTACAGAGTAGGCTGCAAAGTGCATCTACGAATGGTGCAATGCATTTATTTAAACAGGGTTGATCTTTACGCATGGATGTTCACATACTTTGACTTTATGATAATGTTCATGATTGAAAAGGCAAATATTTTACGCTCTCTAAAGAAACTGGCATGTATAGGCCTGGAAAGAAGCATGCAGGAAAAGCAAATACTATGGAGAAATAAAGTGTCAATCTAAAAGTGCATAGTCCTTCGTATTGTACATTAAATTGGATAGTGTCATGCTCACAGAAAGCTATGCATCAGTTTGGACATCTTCTGCACTTTATTGCTATAGAGATTTGTCTGGACAATGCTCAGAGATTCACAGAATAGCCTATAATATACAGGATTGCATTATATATCAGGGGTGGGAGGGCCAAGAGACCAGAGGTGGCAGTACGGAGTACTCAGGTTGGGGTGTAGGGTTTAAGCATTGCCTGAAGGTAGGGAGGGGCAGTTCCTCTTGCTGCTCCGTAGGCAAGTACTATGGTCTTGTAGTGGATGCGAGCTTCGACTGAAAGCCAGTTGAGTGTGCAGAGGAGCGCAGTGACATGGGAGAACTTGGGAAGGTTGAACACCATGCAGGCTGCAGTGTTCTGACAAGCGCCTCGATTAGGACCTGCACCGCTTCCTGTGTGAGGTAGGGTTGTACTCTACGGATGTTGTAGAGCATGAACTTGCAGGAGTGAGTCACTGCTTTGATGTTTGCAGAGAATGACAGGGTGCTGTGCAGGGTCACGCCAAGGTTCTTTGGGGGACACTGTGGATTTGTCAACCGTGATGGAGAGGTCTTTGAGCGGGCATGCCTTCCCCGGGAGGAAGAGCAGCTCCATCTTGTGGAGGTTGATTGAGGTGGTGAGCCGACATCCAAGCTGAGATATCTGCCAGGCACGCAGAGATGCGCGTCGCCACCTGGGTGTCAGAAGGGGGGAAGGAGAAAAGTAGTTGAGTGTCATCTTCATAGCAATGATAGGAGAGACCATGTGAGGATATGATGGAGCCGTGTAAATTAGTGTATAGAGAGAAAAGGAGAGGGCCTACAACCGAGCCCTGGGGGACACCAGGAGTGAGAGTACTTGGTGAAGACACAGATCCTCTCCACGTCACCTGGTAGGAGCGGACTGCCAGGTACGATGCAATCCAAGAGTGTGCAGAGCCTGAGACGCCCAGCCCTGAGAGGGTGGAGAGGAGGATTTGATGGTTCACGGTGTTGAAGGCAGCGGATCGATCTAGGAGGATGAGAACAGAGGATAGGGATTTAGCTTTGGCAGTGTGGAGAGCCTCTGTGACACAGAGAAGAGCAGTCTCGGTTGAGTGACCCGTCTTGAAGCCAGACTGGTTAGGGTCAAAAATATAATTCTGAGAGCGATAGCGAGAGAGTTTTTCAGACACAGCACGCTCAAGTGTTTTGGAAAGAAAAGAAAGAAGGGGTACCGGTCTGTAGTTTTAAACGTCAGAGGAGTTGAGTGTTGGTTTCTTGAGGAGAGGAGCGACTCAGGCCATTTTGAAGTCAGAGGTGGTCAGGGATGCGTTGACAATGGAAGTGAGGAATGGGAGAAGGTCTCCAGAGATCTGGAGAAGGGAGGAGGGGTTGGGGTCGAGCGGGTAGGTTGTCGGCAGGCTAGACCTCACTAGTCGCAGGATTTCATCTGGAGAGAAAGGGGAGAAAGAGGTCAAGGCGTAGGGTAGTTCTGTGTGAGTGGGACAAGTGGACTCAATAGGCTGAGTGAATGAGGAGCGGATGTGGTCAACCTTCTTTTTAAAATGTTTGACAAAGTAGTCCGCCGAGAGGGAGGGGGAGGGGTTGGAGTGCACTAATAGATTGCAATAATAGTGTTTAACAAGATTTTTGAATGAATACCTAATCTCAGTACACCACACATATAATTATCTTTAAGGTGAATTTCGAACACAGATTCAACCACAAAGACCAGGGAGGTTTTCCAATGCCTTGCAAAGAAGGACACCTATTGGTAGATGGAAAAAAACATTGAATATTCCTTTAAGCTTGGTGAAGTTATTAATTACACTTTGGATGGTGTATCAATACACCCAGTCACTACAAAGATATAGGTGTCCTTCCTAACTCAGTTGCCAGAGAGGAAGGAAACCACTCAGTGATTTCACCATGAGGCCAATGGTAACTTTAAAACAGTTACAGAGTTTGAATGGCTGTGAGGATGGATCAACAACATTGTAGTTACCCCAAAAAAGAAGGAAGCCTGTACAGAATAAAAAATTATTCAAAACAAGCATCCTGTTTGAACAAGGCACTAACGTAATACTGCAAAAAAATGTGTCAAAGCAATAAACGTTTTGTCCTGAATACAAAGTTGTATGTTTGGGGCAAATCCAATGCAAGACATTACTGAGTACCACTCTCCATATTTTCAAGCATAGTGGTGGCTGCATCATGTTATGGGTATGCTTGTAATCATTAAGGA